GGGGCCCCTGGGGGGTCTCTGCTGCCCTCGGCCCTCGGCTGCTTCTTGGGGCTTGAAGAGCGCCCTCTGCTGCTCCTGGCGGGGTCTTGTCCAGAACCGGCCCTGGCGCTGCTCGGCCCACTTTTACTCTCCCCTCTCCTGGGGCTGGAGGACCGGTCCCGGGCCCGTCTTTTGGGGTCACTTTTGAGAGGACCGGGAATCGTTTCTAGATGGTCCTCTGCATAGCGACTGGCGGGCTTTTTAGGGCTAGCGGACCTACCCCGCCGGGAGACACCATTTTCCACTTTTAAGAGATTCTTCTTGTCGCTGTGCCCGTGGCTGCCAGGTGGGTCCCTCTTGCTCGCGTTTTTCTGGAGGAGAGACTGATGGGAAGCGCTTTTCCTCCCAGGCGCCGCGTCCTGGAGTTCTGCTGCCTGGTCCCACGTCTGAGCTCTCGCTGTGGAGTCTCCAGTGACCGGCACGTGCGGCTCTTCAAACACGGACGCGGAACGCGAGGGTGGGGCCGATGGTGGCTGTTCGTCGTAGATCACGTGGGGAGATGGAGGGTGAGTGGTATCCCAATCGCCTGGGGAGGAGGTGAGTGGAACACGGTTAAAAGTTAGAAGTGAGTGAGGAGCAGTAAGGTTGGAACTATGACAGCCATTTGAAGTAGATGAGCATCTGAACAGTTTACAGACGTTCAGGTGGCTCTACACACTAGGACTAGTGTCTCTATAAAGGCAGGTGTGTACAGACAGCTGTATTTGTACATCTGGGGGAGGGTTTAAATATACAGCAAATAACAGGATTAACTTTTTCCAGTTACTAGTGTAAAGCCCAATTAAAACTTAGAATTCGACCAAACTACCTGGTCCAAGAGGCGTATTAATTTAGCTCTAACCAGTGGCCACAGCCTAAGGACATGCTAAATCACTAATACAGGAGACCGCACTGTGGTCCGCGGGCATTTGTCAATAGTTTTTGTCATTAAGCTGTCAAATTTAACGTCAAAAGGAAACTGAAAAATGCAGCAGCAGAATTAGATGTATTTTTTAACTAAAAAGAAAAAAATAAAAGACGGAAGTGATCGACAAGACATGCAAATTTACCAAGTCTTTTTAAGGAAAGACCAAGAAAAGCCCTGAAAGCCTTAGTGCTGCTCAGGTTTCACGAAGGAGCACAGACCGGAAGGAGCCAAACCTGAAGGAGGAAGAGAGAGAGCCTAGGACTGTGTGAACCCACCGCAGCGCAGTTAGCACAGACGTCACCGGGCGCACGGCTACGAGCAGGCGGAAGGTGACAGTCGGAGGATCGCAGGCTGAGGGGGGCCCCGGGAAGCCCTGCACGGGGCCACCTCCTTCTCGGCCAGGGCACGCAACCCAGGCACCCACATTTCAGCAGCGCCCGGGAACCAGCGGGCCTGCAGCTCCCGCTGCGGAATGAATGCCAGCTGCAGCGGTTTCAGATGTTTTTCCTGACATTTAAACCCCTCGCCTCTGACAACCTTGCTCTTTACAGGCACGTTTCTGCATTTTCTGCTGAAATTAGCTTCACATGCATCCCATTCCAGCAAAGTCCTGCCTGGAGCCACCTATGTTGTAATATTGTTTATAGCTAATGAAAAGCATGCGGCGTCGCTAGCTGCAGATGATGCTGGCTTTTGCTGGGACCGGGCGGGTAACTCTCCCCTCCCGGCGCACGTCCCTCCGGCGGACCCTCCGACCCTCTCAGCTGTGCAGCTGCCGGTGCCCCGCTCACCGTGGTCAGGGATCAGGCCCGTCCCCGGCCTCAGCAGCAGGAGGACCTTGTTCCCACCGGCCTGGATGAGCTCGATGGCGCGCGTGTGCGTGATGCCTTGGGTGGGCTCCCCGTTGATCTCCACAATCTGGTCCCCGACCTAGACAAGGAGCAACGCACTGTCACCCGTTTCGCTTCTGTGGACTCGAGAGCCGCTCAGCCTGGCCCAGCGCCCCTTCCACCGGTAAGACCTTCCACCCGTGCACGGCGCCGCCCGCTCTCGCGTGGAGGAGGGGCAGGTGGCGGCAGCAGGGGAATGTCTAGCTTAACATGACTAGGAAGCAGGAGCCGGGCATCTTGAAATCAAGAACCAAATGAAATATTCATAGATTAAAACTAACTCACCTTGGAGAATATATTACTGTGAAGACGGATTTAAATCCAGTAACCGGCTCATATTTGATTACTGTAGTGTAAAATGATTTCCCTAAAACAGCAGTCGCCAACCTTTGGACCACCGGTTGGTGGCTGCTGCCCTAGAAGACTAGGGATTAGAATAAGACGCCTCAGTGCCTCTGCGACTTCCTAGAAATGTCTGCTATTTTTTAGAGGAAAAACACAGAGAAGTTTAACTTCTGCAAAGAGCCTGATTCAAGATGGTGGTAGGGATTTTACTCCAGATTTGAAACTACATTTCAAGGTGAAAAGTAAGTTACGGGTGTTGGCTTCAGAACAAAAGAAGGGAAAATTAGCGAAAGCAATTCCAACAGCTACCGAGCTTGCTAAGCTCCCAGAACAGCAGCAGGGAGGCCGCGACCCTCCCCCACCTCCTCCCCCACCTCCTACCCCACAGGGGCCTCGCCCCCCCTCTCTGTGAAATGGGGGCGCTGGGAGGACTTAAAGGGATAGAACATGATTACAAACCAGCACAAATGTTAGTGTCAAGTTACCTATTTTCGGGCTTTCCAAGAAAGTCCTAAGGCAGCGGTTCTCCACCTTCCGGCCCTTTAAATACAGTTCCTCATGTGGTGACCCAACCAGAAAATTATGTTCGTTGCTACTTCATAACTGTCATGTTGCTACTGTGATGAATCGTCATGTAAATATCTGATATGCAGGATGGTCTTAGGCGACCCCTGTGAAAGGGGCATTTGACCGCCAAAGGGGTCGCGACCCACAGGTTGAGAACCGCTGTAGGGCATGAGTATGAATTAGTTCACTGTAGAGAGCACAATGTAAAAATTGCAAGTAAACTATGAAGGAGAATAAGTGTTTTGCTGTATACTTTTGAAAAAAATGGAGGAGGATATCAGAAACAAGATCAATAGATTTCACAAAGTGGAAAAGAAATCTTTAAAAGCAAGATAATTGATTTTTAAAAAGCCCAGATTTCCTGTAAGTGACCGAAGAAGAAACAGTTTCATGAGGAAGTAGATGACAAATTAGCACTAGCTGTACAATCCTGCTGGTTGCTAGAGAAGAGAGAATTAGAGCAGACAGTATGTGAGGCGTGCTCTGGGTACCTCTTAGAAAACATGACTGAGGTTATAATGAAGTTTAAGCATAGTCTTTGGCTTAAATTCACTATCCAGACCTGCACAGTTCTTACTGTTTTAGCACAAGTAAATTATAATAAAACTTGTAACTGAACGGATTTGCCACCAGGTGTCGTTTTTGTTTAGCTTTAAGCTAAACTGGGGGGGAAGCGGAAGAGGGCCAGGGCCTGAAGCTGTTGGCAGCTCAGCTTTGTAGGGACCAGGGCAGGGCCCAGGGCAGACCGCGGCACCTTGAGAGGGAAATGCAGACATCCCGGTACAGCTTGGTTACTTTACAATTTTAAAATGGGATGAGAACACATCGTTTGGCAAATAGTACAAAGTCATGTTCAGGTTTGTATTACTGAAATAAAATTGTGGGGGATGGAGAATAAGAGAACGGAAGGAAGAAGGGATAAAGAAAAATTTGGCTGTCTTAAAAAACACTATCTTTTAGGCAATCTCACAGTTTTTAAAACATCCATTAAAAATAGTATTTCTAACAGTTGTTCACATGATCATCTCAGAACATGTCCAGAGCCCACAGGCCTCCCAACGGCATCGGCAGGACAGGCCTGGTCCCTGTGCAGCTGCCACAGGCTGCGGCACCCGGCGAGGGGCCCTCTCGCTGAGCCTCAGTGAACTCTGTGCGGGGCCGGCTCCCACCTCACAGCCGTGAGACTCGCACTAACACAGGGAGAACGTGTTGCCCGGGAGATGGCGGATCCTACACTTCCTGACTTGGTTTCATGTTAAACATGGACATTATTCCTTAACGCGAACTTTCCCACTTCCGCCGATTTTTCGTTAGCTTTGCCCGGAACCTTATTTCCTCCTCTCTACATTTTAAGCAGATTTAAGGACCAGCCTGAGCCCCACAGATACTCTCAACAGCTCTCCATCTATTGCAAGTTCACATGTTCTTGTTTTAGCGAGCTATACTGTTTGCTAACTGCTTCGTATAACCCGGGTCCTGCCTACCAGCAATCGATTCCAGGAACCAACCTTGAATAGTAACAGTAATCCTCTCATTGGCTAGAAGCAGCATCCGCCCATTCTATTCTTCCTGCGAATACCTGTGGAGCGCCCACTAGGGACACCACTCAAGGTGCCGAGGGTGCTGGAGCGATGGGAAGGGTGACGGGGAGAAGGGCGTCCTGGGTCAGAGAGGGAACTGGCAGGCACGTGCCCCTCGGGTTTTAGTGACGCAAGATCTCCCTGCTGAGACTTAAGAGCCGTCCGCACCCCCTTTCAGCAACCACTTCCCGGCTGGAGCCAAAGCAGAGGGGAAGAGCGAGGCCGACTCACGTGAATCCGGCCGTCCTTGAGGGCGGGCCCGTCCTCGGCCAGGCGCAGGATGAAGAGCCCCATGTTGTACTCCTTGCCCCCGCGGAGGCTGAACCCGAAGCCCCGGGGGCCGCGCTCCAGCTCCACCGGGTAGCAGCCCAGGCCCTGAGGGGAGGAAGGGAGGACACGGGCTGCAGGGGCCGCTTGCTCACGGCGGGGGGACAGGATCTACCCTCAACAGCACTTGTATGGCGCCAGGAAGGAGCGGACGCTGCGGGCCCAGGGCTACGCAGTTTTTATAAATGCAGCCGAAATCGGGGGGTTACATGTCTCCTCTACTAGCTGGTCAATCAGAGGACAGAATTTTGGGACGTGCTTCCTTTAAGTAGATTTTAACTAATTTTCCTGAAAAGAGAAAAACCCACTGCTCCTCTGATGAACTCAAGCCCTGCTCTAAGCCCTCAACCAGGGTTCAAATTTCTCCACCCGCTGGGCAAACCTTCCTTTCATTCTCCATTCTCTCTGGAAGCAAACGGAATGCCAACCACACAGTAGGTCCTCAAGAGTGACTGACCTGAACAAATTTATCTGATTTGCAATAAAAACCCCAGTATGAACCTGGGGGGAGGATGGGGGGTGGGTGGGCATCTCACCTGGTGGTGTCGACTGCCCACAGCGGAGATCACGGCCGTGTCGGGCTGGGGGAGTTGCTTGTGGTCCGCCCACGAGTGTCTGTAAGTCTCACTGCGGGAGAGAAGCCAGGGCCCCCCCCTGAACTGAGCAATCAAAACCGGCTGCACGTAGGCAGCTTCCCCATTTCCTTTCAGAGCTGGGCCTGGCCTCCCGCCCGGCACACTGCTGTGGGGATGCCGGGAGGGCCTGCGCCGAGTTTCTAGTAACCCTAGTAACCGAGTATCGATGGCCAATGTGGTGACCGAAGAGGAAATAATAGGTATGAACACTGCTCTGCTCGGGTCGCCTCGGAGACAGCAGTCTCTGTGGGGCTGGGGCTTCCCTCCCGAACCAGGGCCCAGAGTGGCCGAGCCAGTGGGGCCGTGGCTTCCTTCCAGTCCCCACGTGTCGGGCGGGATGGAGGGAGGGGGACCGGGAAGGACCTGAAGGTGGAAGATGCAGGTTTGCATGCTGACCTCCGGCTGCTCCTCATCACGGCGGGGCGGGGCGGGTGCTGAAGAGAGAAGTCTCACCTGTCCCCAGGCGCGTGGCTGGCCTGTGACTGTCCCAGGGGCCGGTGCTGCAGGGCCGGGCTCTGCCTGGCTGAGTTTGTTCCCGACGGTGGACCATGATGCTCTGTTCAAAGGAGGGAAAACAGAACTAAGCATCTGTCCCTAAGAATGTGGAGGCCGAGTGGGCCCACGGGCACCAGGCGGTACCACATGGCGCCGCTTCCCGCCTCGGTGGCCGGCACGAGCCAGCTGCTCAGCTGTGGGAGGAGGAACGTGGCCGCCCTCCCCGTGTCCCGAGTCATGTTTATGTTTACAGAGGAGAACGGGAGTCACATTCTACTCCCCACACTCCTGCCACCCTGATTGGATCGTCCACACACAGGACAGTCAGAAAGGAACCCACGTGGGTCCTGCCTCCTCGCCTGCTCCTCTGTGGGTTCCGGAGCTCCCCCACCTCTGAGCCACTGCAGGAGGGGACAGGGGCCCGTCCGCCAGCCCCACGCCCCTCCAGCTGCATCCCTCATCCGGAGCAGTTATCTGGCCCGACACTGAACTCCAGCCCACGACCACCCCAGAGTGGAGGAGTGTTTAGAAAACAGCCGCAGGCAGAGCTAAGAGCACCAAGAGGCGAGGAAAAGGCACATCTGTCCCCGCGTCCTGGGCAGCAGCTCCAGGTCTGTTGCCCTGACGGCAGCTTTGGTACCGAGCGCAGCAGCTAGAGCTCGCCGGCAGTCCTGGGCCTGGACCGTCAGAGCCGGTCAGACGCCCAGCTCTAAAGCGGAAACTCTACTGTCTTATCCCGTCCAAACAGCAAACGTAGGAGACTGAAGTCCCGGGGGTGGGGGTGGGCACAGCGTCGTGAGTAAGACCACGACTGAGCAAGGCTGATGGGGCTGAAACCTGAGCCCATCACCCGGGGCTCAAAGAGCATGGGGGGGCCCCGGCGCGCGGTGTCCGCCCAGGACCCAGGGCAGACAGGAAGTCTGGGTGACTCCTTAGATGAAAACATGGCGGTGGGGCCGCAGGAAGAGAACAGACGGACTGGGTTAGAGGTCGTGGGGGGAACGGACACCAATATGCACCGCAGTGCCCGACATCTTAATACGCAAGACACCCCTCATAGCTCTGCTGTTTCAGGCTTCTCAGTGGCTTTACACAATCGGGAAAGATGAGATGAGCACTACGTAATTCATAAAGAACAGAACGGGGCTATTCAAGATGGTTCCTAAGTAGGAATTCCTGACCAAAGGCAGCTTTAAAGCAAAGCGAGACACTGAGTGTGTTTCACGCCCCATTTACTGGCCATTCCTCCCACCCACTCCCTTCCCCCCCTTACAGGGGGCCGCCCAGAGGAAGCCGCCTCCCTGAAGGCAGCTCGGCCTGGGCCTGACGCCGAGGCTCCGTGACTCTGAGCTCCTCAGAGGGTTTCCCTCACTCCAGCAGACTTAAGACTTATTTAAAAGGACACAGGGTCGGAAAGTCTACCAATCTCTCTCGCTGCTGGCTGCTTACTTTCCCGGCACACACATGGCCACCACTCACTAGCCGGAGCTACTGTTGTCTTGAGCTACTGACACTTTATAATAAACTTTTTAATCCATTAAATGGAAAAGGCTGCCCAGCCAGCATGGCTCAGTGGTTGAGCATCCACCTATGAACCAGGTCATGGTTCAATTCCTGGACAGGGCACATGTCTGGGTTGCGGGCTCGATCCCCAGTGCAGGGAATGCAGGAGGCAGCCGGTCAATGATTCTCTCTCATCATTGATGTTTCCATCTCTTTCTCCCTCCCGCTTCCTCTCTGAAATATCTCTCTATATAAAAGCCTAACATGCAAAGTGTCCTCTCAGGAGTTTGACTAACTAGGAGTTTGGTCACTTGCTATGATGTGTGCTGACCACCAGGGGGCGGCACGGAACTAAGGAAGGCCGGTAGCCGCTAGGGACCCTAACCGTGCACAAATTTTGTGCACCGGGCCTCTAGTGTGTGTGTATATATATATATAAAATAGAAAAGGCAAACAATGAGACTCCAGGGCACATTAGAGGGAGCCGTGCCTTCTGCAGGTTCTGGGCCCCTCGGGGCATCTAGGTTGACTGCTCCCTTACCTTCCTCAGCGATGACCGTCAGTGTGACAGTGACGCCGGCGTCCTTGATCAGCTGGACGATGCTGTCGTGGGACAGGTCGACGATGGACTGCCCATTCACTGCTGAGATGTGGTCTCCCACCTTCAGCTTCCCACAGCGGTCAGCTGGGCTTCCTTCTATGACTCGGCCAATTTTATGAGGAATAACTGTAAGAAAAAAAAATCCCCAGGTTTTCAATTATTTAAAACATCTGTTAGTGTTAGATTTATCAGCATCATTTAAAAATTCAACACAACATCAAAGAAAATTCTTGAAAAATACAGCAGAAAAGCACCATATGTGAGCCTCCTGTCTAAATGCTATTTCCATACCTATAACCTTCCCCTTCTTGCCCACATGCACTCTTTTTTTTTAAAAAAAATATTTTTATTGCTTTCTGAGAGGGAGAGAGAGAGAAACATTAATGCCTCCTGCTTGAGCCCAAAATCTGGGCATGTGTCCTGACCAGGAATTGAACCACGACCTCCTGGTTCATAGGTCGATGCTCAACCACTGAGCCACGCTGGCCAGGCCACATGCATTCCCTTCACATAGCTGCGCCCCAGCATACCAACCCCGTTGCTGTTTTCCATTCACAGTCTTTATACCGTCATCCGACAATCCCATTGAGATGCCTGACCTCGCTGAAACGGTGAGAACATCTTGCCAATGTGCTGGCCCCTGTCTGTCGCTGGCCGTTCCGGCTGTCGCATCGTGGGCTGTTTTAGAAACGGCTACACTGAGACAGCCTCCGGATCTCTCACAGGGCATTGACCCCCATGAGGGACCTTGTGAATAAACGCAGTTCAAACTCCAGGGGAGGATGCGGAAGTTCTTGGTCAGAAATCCACGTGTAGCGGAACGACTGACCATTCCAATGAATCGTATTTAGTTCTAGAGCAAAATTAATTCCTTGTATTCAGGCCTTTAGATCTTCTTAAAGTTAGGAATTTTAAGAAGTGGAATTAGAGCCAAGACCGGTTTGGCTCGGTGGATAGAGCGTCAGCCTGCGGACTGAAAGGTCCCAGGTTCGATTCCGGTCAAGGGCATGTGCCTGGGTTGCGGGCACATCCCCAGTAGGAGATGTGCAGGAGGCAGCTGGTCGATGTTTCTCTCTCGTCAATGTTTCTAACTCTCTATCCCTCTCCCTTCCTCTCTGTAAAATATCAATAAAATATATATTTTTAAAAAAAGAAGTGGAACTCTCTGTAAAATACTTTATGTTAACATTATTTATGTTAACATTATTTGTCCCATGGATAAAACCCTACCCTGATCGGACAAAGCTGGGCCAAGCCCTTTGCACAGACCTGGGCGGTTCTATACGGACGCCCGGCTCACAGGCAAAAGGCTTTCCCGACGAACTATCAGGACGCTTTCCTGTTACTGGTGGAGCATCTGTGCTAGACACGGATATTCCTTCCTGGGTCTCCGAGACTCCCTGCCTGAGCCCCTGGACCCCGCAGGCTCCTGGGCCCGTGACTGCTGCCTGTTATGAGAAGGGACAATTAATAGTTTTAAGTGGCACTCTGATGACGTTTAACTCCCACAGCAATGGGCTCTTGCTTAAGTATTTCTGAGTCTTATTTGGTGCCTATTAGAGACATTTTACTTTTTAAAAATATATATATTATTATTGATTTCAGAGAGGAAGAGGGAGGGAGGGAGAGATAGAGACATCAATGATGAGAGAGAATCATTGATCGGCTGCCTCTTGCATGCCCCCTGCTGGGGATCAAGCCTGCAACCCGGGCATGTGCCCTTGACTGGAATCAAACCTGGGACCCTTCAGTCCGCAGGCTGACGCTCTATCCACTGAGCCACACCAGCGAGGGCTGGAGACCTAACAGGCCTTCGCCTGGGACTGGGAGTCGCTGTTGGCCGTGACTGACGTCCCCATGGACGCTGCGGTTCCTCAGCCCTTTCAGGTTTCACAGAGAGATCTGATCTGAAAGCCGAGGAGGTCGACGTGGGAAGCAAGTGCCTTTTAGCTCCGAATCATCTCAAGCCCTTACAATGCTGTTTTCCTTCCAAACAAGGCCGAGGGGCAAGTGGCAGGAGGAAGGGCCACGTCCTGTGTCGGGTGGGAGCCAACACGAATGGCACCACCAGTGGCCGACCAGAGACACGGGGCTGACACGAGGCCCCTGGTGACTCCGCAAATCGATACCTCAGCTGTTCTCCTTCCCAGAAAGAGTTACTCACTCTAGGTCCCCCGGGAAGGAAACGGCCCAGCCCCTCGGCCTGAGAGGGTGGCTCGGACTCGGGGAAGCATCAGCCAGAATTCCTGAGTCCCGGCTCCCTCTCAGACCCGAGGACGGGGCCTCCGGGATGAGGGACAGTAAAAGCAGTCGGACTGTCCTCGGCCGAGCCGGTTAGGAACAGCGAGAGACCAGGAGGAAGACAGCTTCTGAACGGGCCCAGGAAGGACCGGGACTCCAAGGTCGCCCCTCGGAGCGCACACAGCTCGGCACAGTCTGCCGCCTGCCGTGGCGTCTCTGGGAGAAAAGCCTAGACATTTGCCATCAAGACAGTTCATCCGCCTCCATCCAGCTCCGGCCTCCACCCGTCTCGGACGGGCCCTCCAAACCTCTCATTTCAGGAAGAGCGAGGGCAGTAGCTGGAAGTGCCCCTCCTCAAAGGAACCCTCTGCGAGCAGCACTGAAAAGTCTCGGATGAGGGAGAGAGACAGGAACACGCTGAAGTCCTGGCAAAGCAAGAGCCAGCCAGTCCTCTTCACCCGAAACAGGCGTCTCTTCAGAGTCCTCGTCTAGCCCTGATGCGCTGGGCCCGCCAGCGAGGCCCGGGCCCCGACCTCGGACAGGGTCACCGTGTGGAACTGCTGCGAGAGGCGCCACTGGGGACTTCCCTGTGACAAGTGTCAGAAGGAACACACAGTCCATGCTGAGCTGGAGACCGACCTAGACCACAGCCAGGCCCATAAAGGAAGGCCTTCCGACAGGCAGGCCCCGCCTGTGCTCCGATGTGCTCTCTTCCCTAACCCAAACCTCCTCTGCCCCCCAGTGCGCGGCACTGGCTCCGTCCGCGTGAGGGCCCTCGTCCCGCTCACCCGGCCCGGCCCGGCCTCCCTCCGTCTCCAGGAGCCGCCGGGGTCCTAGGAGGCTGCTCCCAGCTCCGCCTCTCGTGAGCCCGTTAACAAGCATGTCAGTGCGATGATCACGTCTGGCTTTGCACCCGACCGAAATCCCAAGTACTTGATGTAAGATGCAGTGCCAACCTCAGCCGAATTTACTATGCAAGCCGATAATTAATGAGCTGCAAACACTCATTTCCTGCCGCACATTAGCTGCTGCCTCACTCTTACATTTTAATTGAGCTTTCTTTCCCATCTCATTACTCAAGTATTAATAAACTTCTCAAAGTTTCTTTTAAAAAAAGATCAAGAGACAGTGACAAACAATTTCACAAATAATGCCGAGGAGAACGGGGGTGGCGGCAGCGGCTACCGGCCAGCGCGGGTCCAGGCTGCGGCCTCTGGGCTGTAGCGCCTTTAATCCGCAGGCGCAGCGAGACAGGAATCAGTACCTCCGTCCTCCCCTCCCAGAGGAACCTGGAGCTCTTACAGGGGAAACGATGTGCCCAGATCAGAAGCTGGTACAAGACTCCAGCAGGGCCTGAACCCAAGGTCGCCAGGTCACAGAGCCCAACACCGATGACACTATCTTACAGAGACCGATGGCACACACAGCCACCGAAATAGCAAGAAACTCCTTTTTAGGTAATGCAACTGATTTTACGGAATTCCTCCATATTGCTCAGTTTTATGGTGCAGGTGGACTCCCCCCTGATTTTTATAGTCCGAGAAAAGGAATAGCTTCGATATAAAAAGTGCGTAGCATCCATCATACCAGATAATAATCTTTCATTGTCTTGGTTAATCTGGAAGGCTGGGTTACTGTACGCTCTGAGGTTTAGAATACGATGATCTGAAACGGTTGTTTTTGGAAATCCTGATTTCCAACGACATAACATAAAAGGCACCCAAAAGCTGCTTTCTTTCAGTTTTTGAATCAGGCCACATAATCATCCTCACAGCACCAGAGACAGTTCCAAGTGTTACCATAGCAACTGCTTATGGAAAAGGGAAAGTAGTAGCAGTGAGCAGTGGCCTGACACTAGAGCCATAACTCATCATGTCACTGGCTTCCTCCTTCACACGCGGGCGTTCGTTTTAGCGAGATTTCTGCAAATTCGTTGGGTTCCCAAAAGTGTTGGCTTTTGTCACTAACATTTTAGTGACCATCTCGTCTGAAAGGATCTCATGACCCAAGAAATCAACCCACAAGCAGAGGCAAGGGGCATCTGTCATGTGGTCAGAGATGCTTATCACCTGACTTAGAAAAACAACGTGACCAGACAAACATGATACATCAAGAATCATTTGCCGGTTCTCTTATTCATCTGGATTTTCTAATTACATTTAGAGATAATTATTTCTTAGAAACACTAAGATGAGACACATTTCCTATTTGGTGAATCATAACAGCCCTGAACATACTGGAAGTAATGCCTCTCTGGTGAGGGAGGGAGTACATTCATCCCTCACAGATGAGCATATTCCGTTACGCCCGTTCGGGATATCTAGATTAATTTTCAAAGGTTCTGACAAAATGTTTGCCTTTCAATGAAGCATGCACAAGAAGGTCGCTTTAGAGGTAAAATACGGCAATTACTGTTAAATAACACAAAGGGACAATTGAAGACGTATTTGGGTCAAGGGTTTTCTGTTCATCTGTTTTGCTTCCTCTCAACCGCTTCTAGCATGGCATTCACTGCTGCATACACGATTTCTCCGAATTAAAAACGCCACCTGTGCCCCCTCATTACAACACTCAGCTCTGTCCCCTCCCGAGGAGTCAGGTCCCGCCCCCACATACGGCCACTGAATCCTGATGCGGACCCTTCGTTCCTGGAATCTGAGATGACACAGAAACTAGGAGGAAACCAAGAAAATATTCATCGTTCTTAAAGAGTGACGTCTCTAAGCCACCCGAGCCTCATCCTGGTCAGTTCCGTGAGCCCCAGTGGGAGGCTCGGGAAGCTGGACCCGGAGGTCGCCACGGCAGGCCCAGCGGCCCTCACCTCCCGGCGGCGGCTTGGTTTTGGAGGTGAGGATGACGAAGCCGAACCCTTCATTCTCCTTCCGCTGCAGGACAACCTCATAGGCCTCCGGGGGCGCAGGCCTGGCCGCGGCGTCCACTCGGTTCAGGCGCGGAGACCCGTTCTGTGTCGTGGGGAAGGCTGGGGCGCTGTCGTCCTCAGGCTGTTTCTCTACAATAAACATGGGTCAATACACATCATCATAATTTTTTGAGCACGAAAGCGTTTTTGTGCTTAAGCGTGCCACAAAAAAATTAGTTTCTAATAACAGAATAGAAACGCTGCCCGCCAAGCTCTGGGGATAATCTGAGGGCAGATGTGGGCGGCAGCTGTCTGCGGACTGAAACACCCTTAACGTCAACAACTGGAGAAATACACAATGGGACTCACTATCAAGGGGGTTTTCTAAGCTTCCGTCAAATTTGATAGGAAAACAGTTCTTGAAACTGTTAGAATTCCAGAAAGCTTTTACCCTTGACCAGTAATTTTAACAAGTGCCAATGATGAGAAATGGTGCAGTAAGCTTCCCTTTAAGATCAGCTTTCAATGGCCCTGAGAGCCGGGCTGAGATTCATGACGCCTGGGCAGCGGCAGCACCAGGGCAGGGCGCCGCCCATCACAGGCGGGACAGTGCTCCCACAGGGCGGCGTTTAGGCCGCAGTTTCCTGGTGATGACACCGGGCGAGGGAGCCAGGAGCAGTTCGCAGGCACGTGGCGAGCTGCCCACAGAACAGCAACCTCTCTGGGGCAGAGTCGGCCCACGGCGTCCCCAGCAAATGGCCAGTTAACCTCCCCCTTTTTCTCCAAGGAAAAAAGAGAAGTTAGTCCTAACTGAGTTTTTTAAATAGGCAAATTTTGTGCTATACATTGATACAAGCCACCATTAACCCCTTCCCCGGCAGAAACTCAGCAAATGGCCAGTTAACCTCCCCCTTTTTCTCTAAGGATTCTATCCTTGGAGAAAAAAGAGAAGTTAGTCCTGAGTTTTTTAAATAGGCAAATTTTGTGCCATACATTGCTACAAGCCACCATTAACAACCACAACACACCACCATCGATGACTACACAAGTACACTGTCTGATTTGGCTCAAAATCGACATGATCCTAGGACTGCTTTGGAATCTCAACCAAGTGCCACCAACGTCCAATCATTAATGAAAAAAATGAAGGATTTCGGGGCATAATTCATGGTCAGGATGAATTAGCTAAATGCCTCCAGTGATACCAAGTGGGCCTGACGCTGCCTCCGGATGCCGCCCCGGAGCGAGCCAGCGGCGGGTGGCCAGGCCGTTCCCCTGCGTGTGGCTCACACGGAGGCCGCATGCACTGGCATCTGTGTGCACCCCTAAATGCCCCATCTTCCTGAAGCGCCGTGGGCTTTGCTTAGGATGTTGCCATCAAAAACACAGTGCCTCGCTCTTTCAGAGTAATGCAAAGACCATCGCGTCAGCAGACACTGGACGTCCTCGCTGTGCCACGCGGGCACTCCTCCCTGAAGGGGTCCGTGTCCCCACCTTCGGGGGGCTCACCGTCCGCGCTACAGGGCTGTCCTTTTAAGACTGTAAGTGGCAAGAATTCACCCCTCAAAATTCCTATCAAACATTCACAAAGCTGTTGATGAGAAAAACGTGAGGGAGATTCGTATCTGAGTGCACAGTCTAGACGGCGGGCTCTGTAATTAAACACCCACTCCAGTCCCTGCCAGTTCTGTCTCCCCCAACCTTTCTGGGAATAACTGTAAAACCAGGTCATGACAGTATTTACCTCACAGCGTTGGGAAGGTTAAATGACAGAATCCATAGGCCCGGGACACAGTAAGCTCTCAATAAATGTTAAATTACATTATACCAAAACTTCTCAAGTAGAGGCATTCTGTCCTCTGAATATGTAGGATTTCATCAGGATCCAAAATCTTTTGATATTCAGCGAATAGGACGCCTCAGTACGACTAGATAACTTTGTTTTCAGAAAGCAGGTTTAACCTGGTAAAATCATCAATACATTCATCTAATTTTATTGTGGACCCCCACCTTTTTCTTTTTTGACAGTGTGATCATTGTTCTGCATCCTTTTGACCTTCCATGACCTTCCACAATGAGGCCCTGGGTCCCGCCCGATGGGCTGCCTCACACACTAGTCCACAGATTGTGTGAAAGAACCTGCAATCCCCCCATCCCCCTCCCGGGAAGGGGGCCGGTGTTTTTAACTCATCGGAGCAGCGGGTGCGAGTACCTCCATAGAAGATCTTCCTCCTGACAGTTAGGAGCACGTGGCCGTTGCGAGCAGCCGTGGTCATGAGGTCCAAGACCTGCTTGTGGGACTTGCCCTTCACCGGGATCCCGTCGATGCACATCAGCTCGTCGGCCGCACGCAGCCGGCCGTCCTTCTCGGCGGCGCCCAGCGGGATGATGGCCCCGATGTAGATCTGACAAGACAGCGGCCCAGACCCTGAGCTACCGGTGAGGGCTCCCCACCCAGCGCTGTGCAAGCTGACAGGGGACGGCAGCTCAGCTCTGGGGCGGTCCTCTTAGAAAGGCGACATCGTAGACAGTGGCCATTCCCCACAGCGGCCCTTTAAGTAACCACACCATCCCTTCTGAGCCCTCGGGGTGGGGCACAGAGAAGACAGAAAACACCGAGTTGCGCGATAACTTGAAAAAGTGCCGCCATCACCACCATCACTGCAACTAACCCAAACCATTAAACTCAAAAGCCCAATTCTGTGGGGCAGCTACAAGAGTCGACAAAAGTCTGTCGCCATCAGGAAACCCTTTCACACGCTGTTCACAGCAGCTGGGTAATTCTCACGCGGCTGCTGTCGCATACTGCTATCAGTCCAAGTTCAGTACATCAAACAGAAGCACTTCTGGTTCCTAAATCTCAAAGCAGTGACTATTTTTAGGGGACAGAGGGGCTAAGGTACAGCGGCTTCCAGGTGAGCGTGTCCAGGTCATTCCCCTGGCTGCAGTTAAAGTCCTGCAATCAGGCAGGCCCCAGTGCCGGGGCTAACTTCAGAGCTGCCAAAGCCTGACATTGAAGAGAAAGGTTTCTTCCAAGTTGTTTGAGATGAATTTTTAAAATGTCTAAATGACCACTGTGAGTGCCAACAAAACAGGAAACAACCCAACAAAACTCTCTCTTTTTTTAATTCCCCAACAATTTT